CCACACGTGAGGTATCACCGCAAATGTCAGGTCATGGGCAGTAATTCTAGCACCAGACCTCCTAAGTAAATCTAAAGTGGTAACCTGTAACGACTTTTAAAATGTCACCTATGGATAGCACAATTTACATCATTTGTTATCATTGCACAGGCGTGCACATTTTTAAAGCATGACCTGCTTGGTGTCTATTTTATTTGGTGTCACATCTTACTTTACAAAAAATTTGCTTATGTATTTTTTTTTTTTTTTCTGCAATAAAATTTATATTATAAAGTGTATGTTTTCCCCAAAAAATTGTGATGTGCAAATTATGTGTATCACAAAATTGCAAAACCCACCAATTTATTCTCTAGGGTCTCTGCTTTTAAAGAAAAAAAAAATTATATGTGAGTGTTTGGGGGTTCTAAGTAATTTAAAAAAAAAAAACCTGATTGTTACATGTGAGCAAAGTGCCAGAAAAAGCCTGGTCCTTGATATGGATAGTATTAACATTGATCACTGAATTAATGTCTCTGGTGATGTATGTGACAGTTATTCAGTTCCCCTAGCATCAGTTAAGTGTCAGATTGCCTGCCGCAATATCGCAGTTCCATTATAAGTCGCGGATCACCACCATGAGTATTTATAAAAAATAATAATAGAAAAATAAAAATTTCAGCATACATTCACTGGCAACTTTATTAGGTACACATTGCCAGTGCCAAGAAAATAGCACACAAACACCACCAGCCTGAACTGTTGATACAAGGCAGAATCCATGCTTTCATGTTGTTTAGGCCAAATTCTGACCCTACCATCTGAATGTTCCAGCAATTAGTCTGTTCCAGCAATTAGTCTGCCCATTCTCTAACCTCTGACATAAACCAGACATTTTTTCCACACAACTTCCACTCGCTGGAGTTTTTCTCTTTTTCGGACCATTCTCTGTAAAACCTAGAGATGGTTGTGCGTGAAAATCCCAGTAGATCCAGCAGCTTTTGAAATACCCAGACCAGTGTTTTTTGCAATTTTAAAATGAAAAAAAAAAAAAAACACCCAGGGGTGATCAAATACCATCAAAAAGCTATTTTGTGTAAATAAAAAAAACATTTTAAATTTAGTTTGAGTACAGGGTTGCATGACCGCACAATTACCAGTTAAAGTAGCGCAGTGCCGAATAGCAAAAAAAATGGTATAGTCATGAAGGGGGTAAAACTGCCTGGAGCTGAAGTGGTTAAGCAATATGTAAACCCAACATTTCATATTCCAGATATGTGCCTGCTGTACCATGTACTTGTATGGAAATATATCATGTTCTCTTTGTGTTGCTTTCTTTGTGTGAAATCCCTGGTTTCCTGCCAGTCCCCCTGCTTTCCTACTAAAAAATGACCACAATAGGCATGAGAGCACAGCATTGTCAGTTTTTTATCTGTGCTGGGAACTCCAATGCTCAAACTTGTCCTGACCCCCCCACTACCACCACCAGCATTTGCATTACAGGATTTACATACTGTATACTTTGACACTGAGCACAATAAAATAAAAATTCCCCAGTGAACTATGTGTTAAGATTCTTACCCCAGCACTTGCACTTTACAAATTTCAATGCTTCTGGCTCCTTCTCTTTCAGTGCTGCTTCCCTGAACCTTCATTCTTCATATGAAAGTGATAACAGTGAACAATGCAGTCTCCTGCCATTCTGTTCGTATGGAGAAGGAAGGAGGAGAGAGGAGCAGGGGGAGTGCCTTGCTATCCTAGGCTAGGGAGACATATCTCTAGCCTCTGCATGCAAGAGTGGGCAGGGGCAGAGGGCATGGCACCAGCTTAAATAGGAACCTAGGCAAGGGATACAAAATAGAGGCCTCATACTCAGTAAGTGATTAAATTGGCTGCAGATAGTGTTTCAAAAGCTCAGGGTTTAATATTCTATATTTAAAGTAGGAGTACATGGATATCGGAGTCAGGAGCCAGCAAAATGAACCTTGTTTGCACTTTCAGGCACCTTCAGGTTTTATTCAAAGAAAAAAGTGTCAGGAGAAATGTATTGCTTACCTTTAGAAAATGCTAGTTGCCTGGCTGTTGGGGCTTTAGTGCCAACTCAGAACAAGCAGGTAAATCAGTTCTCATTTGGTTCCCATACTTGTTTTAGGTCAGTGACTTGAGACCAGAGATGACCAGACAATTATAAATTTGAGTAAACTTGTCGGGTAACAAAGACTGCCTGCAAAGGAAGAGTACTTATACTCATCAGTAGCCTTTGTGTCCTCCCCCTTTTCAGAGTGCTGGGTCCTGCGCCCTGAACAGTGATGCTGTCCTCTGAGACCTACATCACTACAGGACTCAGAAACGACATGGGCATTAGATCAGGGATCAGCAACCAGGTGACTGGTAGATTGTGATCTGGACTTGCTGACCCACCATCCCAGAGCACCAAATATAGTGCAATGCAGAGGGACTACTTGTAAAGTTGGAGCTGTAGTAGGGAGCAAGAGCTGCATAAGCCGATGCCTCCTCTGTAGTGTGTTGGCCCCTGCCCCATGTGTCCCAGTGATACCTACTGCACTCCACCTCTTGTCCCAGCTAGAGGTCTCTAGAGTGGTGCTAGCAGCAGGAAAGTACATGGCCTGGACAGGGCAAAGCTAAGGAGAGGACCAGCATGACTGGGGCTTGTAAACATGGCAGAGATGTATAGTGGGGTTGGGTGTATTTATGAATACCATTGGTGGCTTACCTGATTGGAAGTTTAAGTAAAAGAGGGATAATCTCCAGGATGATGAGAGGAGGCTGGACTTGTCGGAGCTTGTGGCAGCACTGGTGGGGTTTCTACCACCCTCCCTCTCTGGACCTGTTTTGGTTTGTGTTTTTTGTTTGTGTTTGTGTTGTTCCCGTAGGTGTCCTTCTTTTTTTTTTTTTTTTTTTTTTTCTTGCGTGTTTTTTTTTTTTTTTTTTTTTTTAATGGGCTGTATCTGGGACTACATAGCTGTATCATATTCCCTGAGGTGGTGTAGTAGTGGCTCGGGGCCTTCTCATTGGGTTGCAGATACAGCCGGGTTATTTGCCTTGATTTTCAGTGGCTTCGAAGACCTTGCACCCGGTTAGGATCATTACTGTTCAGTTAATGCCTGATTTTAGTGGATGCATTATATAATAGTTGTATCTTATTTTTCATTATGATAAATAAATGGCCTGCCATGGCCATTTTACCACCATAAAATGGAGAGTTTGTGTGGTTATTTCAGGTAGGGGAATGTTGGGGGGGTTCTTTAGGTAAGTGGCAGGGGCGGACTGACAGCTCATGGGGGGGCCCCGGGCAATAGGGGATCATGGGGCCCTTGTGTCCTTACCCAAACTCAAAAAAGTCTATGAAAAAGGCACCAGGGGCATCTCATGGGGCCCCCTACTGACCCCAGGCCCTCGGGCAGTGCCCGAGTGTCCAAATGGTCAGTCCGCCCCTGGTAAGTGGTTAACCTCAATATTCTGCATGTCCCTCAGTCAAGAAGAGATCTTCAGGTCAGTGTGAAGTAATACACTGGGCATAACAGTATAGGGCTGCTTTCCCCCTGATGTGCTGTTGTTTACCCACACCGTGGGTGCAGTACACTGTGCCTTCAGCTTCCCTGCTCGTTTGCTGCACTTAGCCATAGTGTTCTGTTATATCCTGTGGGTTGGTGCGCTTTTTGAAAGTGCATTACACCTGCAGGATATAATAGAAGTCTACGGCAAAGCACCACTAACCGAGGAAAATCGCAGATGCACTGTACCAGCAGTACAGGTAAACCGCAGCACATTAGTGTGAAAGCAGCCTTATAGGGGGGCTCAGAACAGTAAGGGTTAATTTACATTTGCAGTTTGGGGGGTGATAACTGTGTTTTTACCACCCTAGTCCTCAACCACACCCCCTTTAGCTGCAGTATCCAGGGCCCAGGACACATTCAGCAGCAGGAGTTATATGCCTTGTCATGGTTGGTGGGTGTAGCCCCTGCAAAGTATGACCCATTCAAGTGAATAAGGCCACTCTGCAAGTGCCCTGCAACCTTGTTCAGTACAGCTATCAAGGGGTTAAAGCAGGTACCATTGTGTTGCTTTCTCACCACCTGCTTTAACCCCTTGGGCCCCGCAGAAGCAAACAGTTGTGGGGTGCTTGCAGAGTTGCCCCATTTACTTGAATAGGTTGCAATTGGCAGACGATAGCACCCACCAAAAGCAACAGTGGGTTTATTCTCTGCTGCGGCATGTGGACACCTTTTGGCTTCTGCAGCTAAAGGAGGTAGAAATTGGGGGGCAGTAAAACCGCAACTCAACTGCAGGGTTCCCCCCCCCCAAACTTTAGGTGTGAATGAGCCCTGAGGTTTCTGCTGCCGAATGCAACTAAGGGCTTATTCACAAGTGCAGCAGACACTGCTGCTCTTCTGAAAAGTGATCCAAATGTGTTTTGACAGGTGGTGAGGCGATATTTTGCCTCCTAACCACCTGATTTAAACCCATGATTGCTGTGTAATGCATGCAATTGTGAGATGGTAGTACAGCAATTAGAGGTTTAAATCGGGTGTGAGGACGTGACACTGTGCCCGGTGATCTTTGACCTCTCCCAGTTGTTCAGGTAGATCTTTACCTTTTTAAGGTTGGCTACCCATGTGTTTAGATGATGGAACCATGGCATGCTGTGGTGAGACACAAGCATCTGACTCTCCGGAATGAGCTGAGTGCCAAAAGCCCGGACGAAGACTGCAGTGCTGGAGCAGCGGAGCTAGAAAATTGCCAGCACACCAAGGATCCTCAAATACCATCTAAATGTTTCTATTAAAAGTGATCACATCATAGCAGAAGAGTGCAATATTTTGGGGCTGCATAGTTCCACTTCGTCAGGCATGTAAGGAGGTAGGACACCAGGAATGCCAAAAAAGGTGAATATAATACCCTTTCTTTTGCAGCAAGCTTTCCTGTAGTGATGCAAGGGTTCAAGGATGGAACCATGGCACATGGCAGAGGATGCAGCCATCCTAATCTCCCACAAGTTTTGCATGCTGAAGAGCCTGGCAGAGGTGCATATAGGTGCTCTTCTTTGGCAGATACTGTAGGTTTCAATTTATTATTTTTGTTATCTAACAAGACCACTTTCAGAAAATGCTAATTGACTGGCTATTTCCAGCTTTAAAATGGCCTAGATCGAGTGCAACAATTAAAGTGGTAGTGAAGTCGGGCAAAAGCAAAAAAAAACTTTTCTCCCTGCAAGGTAAACACATAACACGCATATGTTTGCGTGCTCCAGCCTCTTGAATGGCCGAGCCGCGATGACTTCACTCCTGAACATGTGCACGGGAGTCACGGCTATGGAGCTCTAAAGGAATGGCATGAGTATGCTGTCCCTTCAGAGCGCATGCACCATGTTGCAAAAACGGTGAATGTCTCCTAAATGGTGCACATTTTTAGGAGATTTTCCTTGTACCTACAGGTAAGCTTTATTATAAGCTTACAAGTGTCCCTGTAATGTTTATGGCATTTAAATTTAGCTTTAAATTAGGATGGAGGCAGGAGACACGTGCTGTCAGAGTATACTACCTCTTCTCTTGCATCTCTTCCATGATGGGATTGCAGGGAGTAGGAGCCCCACACAGGTAGAAATAATGCTGGCAGATAAGCAGGTAGTGGATCTAAAAGCGGGCTCTCTAATGCAGGCCATAGATGGGGAGAAAAACTGCAGATTTTTCTTTTAAAAAACGAAAAATCGGTTGTTCAAGTGGCCGACGTTACCATCAATGGTAAAAAAAATCGGCCGATTTTCTACCCGTCTAGAGCCGGCAAAAAGTGTCCCTGCAGAGAGCTCTGCTATTTCTTTGACAGTTCTCTGACAGTTCCTTGACATTTATAGAAGTTGCAACAATGTATCTATTTGTTTCCATTTAGGATACAGATGTTTTTATTCGGAAACAAATAGATACAATGTTTCAACCGCTGTAAATGTCAAGGAACTGTCAGAAATAGCGGAGCTCTCTGCAGAGACACTTTTTGCTGGACTGGAATTCTTCTTATTTTCATCCTACTTCTTCTTCCTCTTCCTCTTCCTCATCCTCATCCTCATCCTCATCCTCATCTTCTCATCATCCCTCTTCTTCTTCTTCTTCACCACCTCATCCTCTTCTTCTTCTTCTGCATCCTCGTCCTCTTCTTCTTCTTCTGCATCCTCGTCTTCTTCTTCTGCATCCTCGTCCTCTTCTTCTTCATCATCATCATCCTCGTCCTCTTCTTCTTCATCATCCTCCTTCTTCTTCTTCTTCTTCATCCTCATCCTCTTCTTCATCCTCGTCCTCTTCTTCTTCATCATCATCATCCTCATCCTCTTCTTCTTCATCATCCTCATCCTCATCCTCATCCTCTTCTTCTTCTTCTTCTTCATCATCATCATCCTCCTCTCTTCTTCCTCATCCTCTTCTTCCTCATCCTCATCCTCTTCTTCATCCTCATCCTCTTCTTCATCCTCATCCTCATCCTCTTCTTCTTCTTCATCATCCTCATCCTCTTCTTCTTCATCATCCTCATCCTCTTCCTCTTCATCCTCTTCTTCTTCCTCTTCTTCTTCTTCATCCTCTTCTTCTTCCTCTTCTTCTTCTTCATCCTTCTTCTTCTTCTTCTTCTTCATCCTCTTCTTCATCGTCTTCCTCTTCTTCTTTTTCTTCTTTTTGTCTTCCTCTTGCAGGTCACTGCTTATCGGTAAAAAATCGGCCGATTTGCCCACTAATTGCCGCGAAAATCGGCCGATCGGCAAAATCGGCCGATTTTTTTTTCCCCAACTTTACCGAAAAAAAAAAAACGGCCAAAATACCGAAAAAACGGCCGACCAAATCGCCCACTAACGATCCGCCGATTTTCGACCCATCTATGGCCTGCATTAGACTTTTATTGTCTCTTCAAGAAAATTTCAAGGCAGATGAATATCACACAGCTGTAGAAGATAAAATTACTTTGACCAATTAACCTATTACCATAAATCTGAATCCAATGGGTTAGGCTGGCCATATATTATACAATTTTCTTGAGACTTTTGCTTTAGATTTACCAAAAACCATATAATGAGGTCAAACCTAAACAACACTTTCAATTGTATCCAATTAGGCAGGCCCTTGCACTACATAGTTGAAGGTAAATCTAAAGGAAATTGCACAGAAAATTGTGTAATGTATGGCCAGCCTTATGCAGGCCACAGATGGGTCAAAAATTGGTTGATTTTTCGGCCGAAAATAAAATTGGTCGATTTTCGGATCGTTAGTGGGTTAATAGGTTGGCCATTTTTTGGTATTTTGGCCGACTTTTTTTTTTTTTTTTTATCGGTAAAGTTGGAAAAAAAATCGGCCGATTCTGCCGATCGGCCGATTTTCGCGGCAATGATGGGCAACAATCGGCTGATCTTTTTACCGATAAAAAATCTGCGCATGAGCAGTGACCTGCAAGAGGAAGACAAAAAGAAGAAGAGGATGAGGATGAAGAAGAAGAATTCCAGTCCGGCAAAAAGTGTCCCTGCAGACATTTATAGCGGCTGCAACATTGTATCTATTTGTTTCCGAATAAAAACATCCAAATGGATACAAATAGATACAATGCTGCAGCCGCTATAAATGTCAAAGAACTGTCAAAGAAATAGCAGAGCTCTCTGCAGAGACACTTTTTGCCGGCTGTAGACGGGATGAAAATTGGCCGATTTTGTTTTTGTTTTTTGTTTTTTTTTTACCGTTCCTGGTAATGTCGGCCGATTGAACGACTGATTTTTTGGGTTTTTTTAAAGAAAAATCGGCCGGTTTTCTCCCCATCTATGGCCTGCATAAGTCATACCCTTCTCAAGCTGACTGCAATTTGGGATGTTTATAGCTTGAAATGAGCTGATGATTTAATAATTTTATCTTCTACTATAAATTGGAAAGAGTTGTATTTTCAGATTGTTGGTGGATGGCTCTCTTTATATTAATGCAGTGGAAGGTCTCTTGTTCGTTAAACTTTCTGGAATTTTTGTAGGCGTGAAATGGTCCCATTTGGTGTGAAGGTCAGCATTATAGAACCAGGCTACTTCAGAACTGAAATCACTGATTCCAACCGTTTTCTGGAACATGTAAAGTACAGATGGGAGAAGTCACCTGATGAAATCCGGAATACCTATGGGCAGGATTTCTTTGAAAAACGTGAGTGTTTATGAAACGTGGCCCACAATTGCTAAAAGGTTGTCAAATTATTACAATTTAGCAATAAATATTGATGTCTAGTGTTCAAAACCAAACTAAGCAGCATCACTATGCACTGATATGAGCAATAAATATCTCATTAGATAATTTCTTCAAGGTTGACATATGGACACAAATGTGAAAACCTTTTATAAATTGCTTTTTTATATATATTTTAAACTGTTAAAAAAAACACAATACTGTATTATTTAGACCTCGTGTACACTGGGCTTAAACACCACTTTGAGAGATGTTTGACTTTTTTTTTTTTTTTCTGCCTCTAAACATCCCATGTTAGCCTATGTGTCCATACACACATAGGAGTTTACAGCTGTGCTTGAAGAGGTGTGTTTAGAGACAGGAAAAAAAACATCACTTGAGCATTCAGGAAAGGAGCGTTTGAGCAGAAAAAAAGCACCCAACATGGCTAAATGCACCTAAGCACTAGGCACATTTAGAGCTTGAGAGTCCATTCATTTCACACTCCTTTTTTTAAGGGATAAGAGATACAGATGCTTGTGACGGTGCGTGGCGTCAGATCCCAGCCCTTCTCACCAACTTGTGACCGAAGGATCAGCCGATGTCAGACCGCGCTTTCACTTGTGTAACAATACCACTCTCAGCTACGCCCTGCACAAAGATTTTCCAGCTCGCAGGGCAACAATCTATGTGCCAGCAGCCTTAGAGCGATTGTTACTGGGTCAGGTTAATTACGCAATTAACCCATCACACTGCCACCACCACCTTTTTACAGAGAAGGAGGAAACTCACAAATTTTGCCCCAGTGCCTTGTGGGATATGCAGTGCAGAGTACTCATTCCAGCTCGTCAAGCCAGCTCAGTCCACATCCTGTGTACCTTCCTATTGGGTAGATGATGGGCTCTACCTGGCTGTACAAAGCTCTGCAATACAAGTCTCCTGTAGCTGTACCTGTGTAAATGTCTCCTCTGCTGACAATCTCTTTCCTGTCAGTGCTACAAACTGAGCTTTTAAAGAGGTATAGCCAACTTCACCTTTACATAAAGTGGCCCATGCGAACAAGGGGCCCCTGTAGTTTGAAATTAAACAGGGTTTTTACAAAAGGAACTGTGCATTTTAATGTCTCACCTGTAGGCTTTCTCTGTCACCCATGAAGCCCAGCCAAAATTATTCCCAATGTTTAAACTCTATTTCTGGGACATGTCATTTGTTGTGAACATGCACCCATCAACATAGGATGGAATACACCACATGATTCAAAATCCATGCATGTGTACTCTCTCCTGTGGTAGCAAAGACTCTCTAGTTGCATATCCCCGCCAGTAATCTCACAGTGCTGTAAGCCTTTTGCAACAAAATGGCCACCAAGCCTCCATCTTTGAGGACAACTAATATACTCTAACTATTTGTCCTCCAAGAAGGAAGCTCAGCAGCCATTTTGATGTAACCCATGTTGTTGAAATAAACCAAGAGATGTACAGTAGATGTAAACTTTAAGAATATTTCAACAAGGCTTTATGTTAACAGAAAAGGCCTACATGATTTTCATTAAACAAAATGTTTTAAAATACACTGTTCCATTTGTAACTTCTGAGGCCCCTTGTTCTGCATGGTCCAGTTTATGTGAAAAGTGAACTTGGCCTTTAAGATGATGAAACAGAAGGGGTCCCTTTTTGTCAATGGAATGTGACTATTAGAAGTTGGAATCTGATTGCTCTGAGTACTGTAGCTAGCCATCCAGTGTACTGTACCATATTCATCTTTTTGGTTTATTTGTAAAGTGGTGCACCATATGTATATTCTTAAGTATCCTTATTTTTAAGGATATTTATTGTCAAGACTGCAACAGGGGTTTGCACATAGACAATTTTCAACACGCATTGTTCCA